ATGGCCCTAAAAGTCTAGTGTCTACTATCAAAATTTCATATTAAACGGATATCAAGGTAAAAAGTTATGGTCCAAATACTAAGACAATGTCAAAATTTCTTTCTACCCAAAATCTATCAAAAAAAGTGTCTTCACTCTGGAACACTTCCTAATTTCTACTTTTACAACCTATATAGTTCATGCGTCCCTCACTACATATATGAGAAGTTCAAAATCATTACGTTATTATATAAAGACAAGAATATGGAGGTTTACAATCCACCCCCTTAAAGAAAGTTTTATCCTCGAAACTTACCTTAAGTAGAGAACAAATGAGGGTACTTTTCTCGCATCTCCAGCTCTGGTTCCCAGGTATCTTCCTGCACCCCATAATGTTGTCACAAGACTTTCACCAGTTGGATTACTTTATTGCGAAGCACCTTCTCCTTGATATCGAGAATCTCCACAGGTTGTTCTTCATATGTTGCTCCCTCTTGAATTTCAATTCCCTTCAAATCCACGACATGTCTTGTATCTGAATGACACTTTGTTAACATTGACAATTGGAACACGTCATGTACTCCTGACATCTGGGCTGGTAACCGAAGTTGATACGCCACTTTGCCCACAACTTTGATCACTTCAAATGGTCCGATGTACATTGGGGCTAATTTTCCCTTCTTGCCAAATCTAAACACTCCCTTTTTGGATGACACCTTGAGGAACACATAGTCCCCCTCTTGGAATTCCAAGGTTCTTCTTCTTCTATTCCTATAGCTTTTCTATATACTTTGAGTCATTCGTAGTCTTTTCCTAATTAGTTGAATTTTCTCCATAGTCTCTTGAACAATCTCTGGCCCAAACAGACTACTCTCTCCAACTTCTAACCAACAAGTCAGGGATCTACATGGTCTCCTATACAATGCCTTGTAAGGTGCCCTGTCAATGCTAGATTGAAATCTATTGTTATATGCAAATTCCACCAACGACAAATGATCATTCCAATTTTCCTTGAAGTCCAACACACAAGCTCGTAACATATCCTCTAAAATTTGTATCACCCTCTTAGATTGGTCATCCGTTTGAGGATGACAGATGGTGCTAAAGTGCAACTCTGTCCGCACAACTCTTCTTGATTGCAACTCTGGCCTGACTGTGGGCTTCATCTTTAGTGTGTTCCTCCAGATGTCTCCTTCGGTGATTTTCCCCAAAGTGGTTATGCTCATGAAGCTCTGTGACTCCATTAGACAGAGCTTGGCGTTCTTGGGGGGGGGGGGCATCGTGTTTTGCCAAAGGTGGAAGAGGCTCTTGATAGGTTGGCGGGAACTGTGAAAGCTGGTGTGTCTGTATCCACATTATCAATTCTTGGTTCTACTTTATCAATTGCATCTTGGTCTGACGATAGGCTTCCAATTCGTTGAGCGAAGGGAGGTCCACCATTAGGGGTGGTTCTCGACGTCTGCTTCAGGGCCAAAAAATTTTTCGGTAAATTTTGGTGAACTTGGGGATTGGCATGAGATTTACTCATATTCCAGGTCGAAACCATCAAACTAACAAGGATGCAAGAATACTCAAAGGAAAATGATGAAAACTGTTTCCCACAGACTGCACCAAACTGATGGGTGTCTGAAATTTTTGGCCCAAGTTCGATACCTTAGCCGGTTGGCCCAGAGGGGATATCCAAGAGTAAATATGAAGAATGGAAAGGGATAGAAGGAGATATCCAAGGCATATATGTAAGTGGTTCACCCTAGCCAGAAAATATAAGGCTACATCCCATTAAGTGGTCCCCTCGTCTTTAGGACATGTGGCACGACGGGGGAGCTTTAGGGCAGGCGTTGGGCCGAGCTTCTCTATCTGAGCTGACATATGGTTGAGTTGGATTAGGGCTGAACTGGAGTCCAGATCCTCTAGTACCATTGGGCCTTTCCCTTGTGCTCAATAAACTCTGCTCTTGGTGTATACAGGCTGTGGACGCTCCATTTGGGCCATTACGCAATCATTGGTTTCTCGAACTCATTGGGCTATTTGATTATGGCGGCCCATACCTAATATCCCATCATTATCAGGAAGTTTTAAAAAGAAGTTTAAGATTATGTGCGTTTGTTTTTTTGTTGTAATAGGTTTAGGTATTCTCGATTTATATTACATGACATATGGAGTTGGTTAAATTTGTGTGATTTGTCTTCTTCTCTGGTTCAAACCGATTTGGTGTAACTCAAGTTCAAAAACATAAATAATGGAATTATTCCAAATGAATAATTTAGGTTTAAAGTCGAGTTTGGGTTGAGCTCAAGTTGAAAGTTTTTTTAACTCGAGTTAAACCTGGATTAATTTTTCTTCTAACCCAACCTGCTCGAGTTGCACCGTTACCTACAAGTGCTATATGCCTGACCCATGTAACGGAAACCTATGAAACTTGTATTTGCCAAGGTTTGACCTTATTTTTGTCATCATGTATTAAGAAAAAAATTACAGCAAATTGCCCTAAAAACTAACGAGTTTTCAGCCATACTTTCAGTGGAGACTTTTTTTTTTTTTTTATCAGAAACAGACATGCAGCACTATATATTACATAGAAAAATTTAAATTACAATTAGACAAAATGGAAGCCTTAAGCTCGGGAGGGGGGGAGCCTAACCAATCCAACGGAAGGGAATTGGTTAGTTTAGCAACTGTCACCCAATGAGCAGCCCTATTACAGACTCGAGACTTATGTAAAAAACTGAAGTTATGTAACCTAGCCAAAGACCTAATATCATCTATGATAACCTTAATGTCCCACGGAGGAACATCCTCAATAGAACTCAGCTTAATAATAGAAAGACAATTGTTCATAATTGTGATATTGGAAAGCAAAAGGGCTGCAGCAGCTTGACATGCGTGGCACACAGCCTCGGCTTCAAAAACCAATGGAGATACAACAGGGAAAGACTTGGCAGCACCAAAAACAAAAGACTTATCAGCTTGAAGCAGCACCAAACCACAGGCAGCCGAATTAGAAGTAGAGGAAAAAGACCCATCACAGCAAAGGAGTGAGGCAGACAACGGGGAAGGGGATGGCATCATTGAAGACACTGAAGAAGCATGACTAGATTGAGAGCAAGCAGGCACTGTGAACAAATCACTCCAGAGGCTTTGAGCACGAATAACTGCCGCAACTGCATTAACCTCTTCATCATAGAAGACCTTTTGATTTCTGGATTTCTATAAAACCCAACCAACAGTGGCAACCTTACCTAGCACCTCCAGGCGATCCTGAACAGACCCAACCTGGTCCAAAATCCAGGAAGACCTGTGTGCCACAGACAAAAAGGAATGCGCCTCCCACTCAATAGCCAAATTCATACCAAACCAAACCCTTTTCATCCAACCACACTCAAACAAGATATGCTCAGTGGATTCAATACACTTATTACAGATAGGACAAAAGGGAGAGGAAACACACTTCCTTTTAAAAAGATTCTCCCGAGAAGCCAAAATGTTATGACAAGCTCGCCACCAAAAATGCCTGACTTTAGGCATGGCCAATGGAGACTTGAATCCATCCTAAAAAGGGGGTAAAGGAAGCCCAAAGTCAAACCAATGTGTCACATTTTCAATTACCATGGTTAGGCCTCTTCGTGTCGGTTAACCAACTAGCCCGTTAACTAGATTACCGTGTTTAGGCCTGACCGCGTGGTTAGGCCTGTCCAATTAAGTATCTATTAAGAAATTTTTTTGAAAGGTGTTTATACCTTTAAAAAAATTGACATAATGACTACATATAGCACTTTAGGGTTTATGGTTACAAAGAAGTGTTTGTTTCATGTTCCTTTATACCGTTAGGAGATGTCTCCAACAATTGTAGATTAATATATTCAAGCCCAATGAATTTATCTTTGCCTATTCTTGGTTTTGCACAGATGGATACTTAATTGGATGACTCACCTTCGTTTTATCTCACTATATGCTTCCTCTTTTGTCTCTCTCTCACCCTATGCATGTGTGGATATCTACCCATGCCTGCACAGAATATAGGTACAAATTTATAATGAATTCATGTTTTTTTTTTATAATTTGGGTTTTGAAATTTGTTTGTTCAAGTCAGAGAACATGAAGGGAGATTTGATGAACTTGTGAATCTTAACTTTGTACAAGGTCATGATTGACCTGGAAGGTATTTTGGAGAGTTTAGAAAAGTTTTTTAGGTGTGAGATACTGGAAATTGTTTTTATATGACAAAGCATGTGGTTAAGTTGACTATAGATCTCGGTCAAAATCAAGCACAAAGAAATCATATTTTTATGAGATTATAGTTTTGGGTCAAAAATTATGTTATAGTTTCTGTGGATTTTTCTTTTCTTTTCCTTTCATTCTTACAGCATGAAGAAAGATTATATAAACTTGTTTCTTAAAATTTTTACAATCACAGTTAAGTATATATGTCAGAGGATCACCTGTTGTATCACATAAGATAATAGAAAATACGCTGATAATTTTTGCATCAATACTATATAACATTAGATATTTAAAACAGTTCATGTACAAAGTACATATACACCAATTAATCAAATTAAAAGTCTATAATAGGCTAGGCTCCCATTATTGTCAAAGGACAACTTCGTCTCCCCGAAAGAAAAATAGGCCCGCTCTCTCACTTACTAATCCCATGAATTCAAGTGAAATCTATTAAAATAAAATTACAATAAATTCAAGTGAATTAAAGCACAAGAGATGCTTGGCTACAATTTCCATCTCGCTCATTACAATGAATTCAAGTAGAATCTATTAAATAAAATTAAGACAAATACACCTGAAAGAATCTGGATCCAAGGTGTTCATCCTTCTTGCAGCTAGCCTTCGACCAAAATTATGTCAAGAGTGAAGATCTGTCATTATTTTTCCACAAGTTGCCATGTTTTCTTAATTATGCAATACAGCTATCCATTGGTATTTCCTTGGTCAAAGAGGGGGAAAAGTGAAAAAGAAAACAAACGTTGGTCCTTCAACAGGAACTAAACCATTTTAGCATCAGGCGTTGATATAAAAAAGAACCCAGAATACAAATGGCTTACATCCCTACATTCCTCCTGTATTCTTTTCCAGCTGCTCAGAAAGAGGTAATATCAAGTGCGTTGTGTGTGTAATTTTATTCCAAAAAGTGAGGTCTTAATAACAAGTATGAAACCTAAACACAATGCTAGTGTTACAATACAAAATATGAAATATGTAAGAAAGAAAACTGGAATACACTACTATTCTCTGGCGATAAAATAAATTGAGATATTAAAATAGTGACCAGATTGAGTAACAATTACTCAAGACTCTTTGGAACGCCCCCACAGAAGAATTGCATTATTTGAGACTCTCAAAATGCATGCCATTCACTTTGGTTCCATCACTTCCCCACCTGGTAGAGGAACTGCAACTGGTTTACTGAGAAGTGCTTTTACAAACATGTAGTCTCCCTGGAGCCCGCTTACACTTCAATCACCTACTGAAACAACCTCTTTAGCTTGTCCGCAGATTGAGCTGCTCTTTTATTGGTCGGCTCAAGAACAAGTGCATATCTGAAATCTGAAGGAAGGATCCAGGGGGTGGGGCAGAAAGAAGTATTAATCCAATTACTTCAAGAATGACACCGAATAAGTGAGCAAGATCTGTGCCCGAAACACACATTGACCAACTTAATTTTGACATGTCAACATATTTGTTAACTATTGAAAATAAAACTGCTCCATTCTTTTTTAACCCCAAATCGAGGAAAAAGACAACGAAATATCAACCTGAACTTCTCAATATGTTATCTAACCAGAAGCATTTCTATACTCCTTTCACAAAATGTGATTTTTTAGTTACACTGCTGAGTACGACAAAATGAGAATTCTCTTCCAGCTTTTCTCAAAAGTCCAACATCTGGATCACAGGATGTAAGCAAATACTCAACATATGCACTCACCTTCAGTTGCCTCTTTATAGTAGCCAAGCATCTCCCGTGCTGTGCCTCTTCTTAAATAGGCCTTCACATTCTGGAATATACAGAAAACCATACGTAATGTTATTCTCAGAAGCAACTTGTCATTCCCCACACAGCAGAGAAATATACAATACATGCAAATTAGGATGAAACAAAAGGCAGCTACATAGATGAAAGAATATAGCATTATGCTTGCAAAATAAACTTGAACAAGTAGAAAATTATTTCCAAGAAAAATTTTCTTCTTTATTTTCCTTTTCACTTTTCTTAAGTGAATAAGTTATACCCCAGATCCTTGGCCCAACAACGACTCGAACATTCCACGGCAGGAGGTAACACCAAAGCTAAGAGCCAATGGCTGCATTACTGAGCACATTGTAATTGCATGCAAATTTTTCTCAAGGAAAATGAAAACCTTAAAAAATAAAGGAATTATCCTATAACAATTCTCATAACTTTCTGAGAGATCATGCCCGGCATTGCTGGTAATGCAACTGTACCAGTAGGTATTGTATACTGGTCGAACATAAAGGTGGAAGTACTAATAGATGTTTCAACGGTAGATGTCTCAACAGTAGGGGTCTCAAGTCCCTTAGTAGTAGCCATATCAATAACAATACTAGGGCACCCATGACAGAAAAATAACTCTTAAGATAAATAGAGGGATAAAATAAGGGAGAACAATATACCACTAGTTGAACAGTAGTAGACAAATAAAGAAGGTCCAGAAAGCTCCAAAATAATCAAGTCACGGTGCCCAGAAATCCAGTAAACATTAATAAATGATCTACTGCATCAAGAGCATATCAACGGAGAAGAGGATTCAACCCCTCTTAAAAGGTCCTACGATCCCAAATAATCAAGCGTACGAAGACAAAAGAAGAGCACGTCCCAGCAATGGGCTGTGTGGAGTGATGAAGAGGCAGGCTGTGTGGAGTGAGCACTGTGTCGAAGAGGCAGGCTGTGTGTGGCGTCGACAGCAGGGTATTGGGTTTATGGAAGGGTATTGGTTGGCTGTGTGTGGAAGGGTATTGGGTTTATGGTTTTATGGGTTTATGATTGTCGGTGGGCTGTTGGTGGAGTTTGGTAGGAGTTTAGGCTGTCGGTGGAATTCATTTATGCTGATGGTGGAATTCACTTATACGAAACTGTTGAGGTTGGCTTTATCGGTTTGAGTCGTATGTGGTTTTGTTGCTGGGTTTGGGTTTATGCTTGGCTTTATTGGTTTGTTGCTGTTGGTTTGATGGTTTGGACAGTGGTGGTTGACTGGGCAGTCAGTGCAGAGTGCAGTCGGCAGTGTGTGTGGGCAGTCGCAGGTTAGGGGCAGTCGTTTCTGGCTACGCTGCTGTGTTTGGCGGAGGTTAGGGGTAGGGGTAGGGGTAGGGTTGGTGGCTCTAATACCAACTTGAGATAGATGTAAGTAAAAGGGATACAAACTAAATGTAAAGCCCCGTATATATAATCAACAATAAAGATACAATAAGGATAAAAAAGTAAAACAAAGGTAAAAAGAAAAACCCTAATAATCTAGGCTATAACTCCATCAGAGCCAAACTGCATTATTTGCACAAGCTGTCTGCCCTCATATTTGAAGCCAAAACTTCACAAATTAGCTGCCAAAACACTTTTTACCAATATACCAAGCAATGACCCCTATGCAGGAAATACAAACTTTCTCGTCAAACATTTAAGCTACGAAATTAGATCGCAAACACTTCTCTTTTTATTTTTTGATATATAAATGGAAACAACTAAATCTAAGGCTTAATATCCTTGATTTCATGGGGAAAAAATGAGATGCTTGAAAGTAACATCATATGATTGGGGATGGTAAACACCGAATAACAAAATGATCAATCAAATATTTTGACGATATCACAATGTAGAAAACCCAATTCCTGCAAACCACTACAAATCACTCAATTGACCAATAGAAGTCCACAGTTATTTGATATTGATCCAAAACACACTTTTAAATGTTCCCAAAAAAATAAATAAATAAGCATAGCCGTTGTAAGGTCGATCCATGATGACTGCATCTGCAAAGCAGGCAAATAACAACTAACCTCCAACAGTAGATTTCCTTGAGACATCATCGAGGCCAGTTGACATTAAGGGAAAGCTATCTGGGGGATGATTATAAAACACTTGTAGTACCATGATATTTGCACCAAGAGGACATTAATGCTTTGTGGGAAAAGAACTACTGTGGTTCAACAGCTAGATGTTTATTGGAGACAACTTCTGAGTCAAAAAAGTCCCTCTCGAATATTTAAATTCTTGAATATTAGGTCATATATCAATTAGTCATATCATATTTCTAAACTGGTATGCTGCATTGACAATATACAAATCCTTGATATTTCAGGATACTTTAACCAAATTAAAAAGCGGCCAATAGATGATACGATCCTTGGATAATTAATTTTACTTTTACTATGGTAGAGATACGTGTTTAACTATTTGCAGATCAATCTTGAAGCAAAAGTGAACCACAGCTACAAGTTTTTATCACATCAATTAAGTCAGCTATAGTTGACATCCATATAGCATTCGCCAAATGCATAAAATCAATATCAGATACTTCATGATCAATCAATTGATTACAGACAAACCATTGCATGAAGCATTTATAAATGTTACAAGCCCATTCAAAAACTGGTTAAATTTATCTTGCATGATCCTACAATTCTATTAGATGAGTCCAGAAAAAAAAATGCAAAATAATCCTTAAGTCTTGCAGCAGCAATAATGCCAGTAAAACAACCCTGACATTGATTGAGAGTTCCAATATAAGAGCTGCCACCTTATACAAATTATGCTAAAAGTAAGTTGTGGATGGTCCACCCCCTCCCAACACACTCTATTAGTGATGAACCTTTATTAAGAAAAAAATGCCACGTTATGTTCAAGGTGTTAAGAATATTAGGGTAGTATGTGTAAATTGTTACTAGTAAAAGGGTGTATATGTAATTCTTATTATTGTGAGGTAACTATAAATACAAATGATGTATGAAAGCTAGGTTAAGTTTTAACCTCTCTCTGTTTCTCTCTAAATAGTGTCTCTAATATTATGTTAATCCTCCAAACTTAACATGGTATCAGAATAAAAACAATACAAATATTATCTCGTCTGTTTCGCAGTTGTGTGCCTATCGTCTCTATGACTATTGTGAAGTTCAACGTTGTGTTGTGTTGTGTTGTTCATCATGTCTTATCTGGTGATGGTGGTAGTCGACATTGGTGGTCGAGGAGTTTTGCTTCGTGGTGGTTTTGGTATCTGTTTTTGGTGGTGGCCTCTGGTTCTACTTCGGTGGTGTAGTCGACTGGGTGTTCTTTTGCTTCGGTGTGGTAGTCGACTGGGTGTTCTTGGCGCCGTCAACAGGTGTTGAGTTGGTGTGGCTGCCTGGCTGTAGGTTGTTCACCGCAGTCAACGTTGAGGAGCATTAGGTTTTTTGGTGAAGAAGACGACTCACTCGACTAGGTCGGTTGCGGGTTTGGTTCCCAGCCCAGATCCAGATCCAAATCCAAGCCTAACCCAAATCTAGATCCAAGTCAAGACCCGAGTCCAGATCCATATCCATATCCGGATCTAAACCATATCCAAGAAACTCGGATCATATCCAGTAGCCTCAAACCAGACCGGTTCAATTCCGAATCAGTGAGTTTACACCGGTTCAGTCCCAGTTCAGACCAGTTCCATCTGTTTTGTCTCCAGTTCAGTGGTCCAGTGGACTTCTCTGGTCCGGTTCAATGCTCCAGCTAGGTTCTCTAGCCCGGTTTAGTGATCCAACAACCTTCTTTTCTTTGGTTCAACGATCCAATGGACTTCTTTAGTCCGGTTCAGTGGTCCAGTGGACTCCTCTGGGCTGGTTCAGCACTCCAGCTAGGCTCTCCAGCCCGGTTTGGTGATCCAGCAAGTCTCTCTTCTTCGGTTCAGCAGTACAGTAGGTGATTCTTGTTCGGTTCAGTGATCTAATGAGTTCCTTTTTTATTTGTTGTACTGTTATGGAACCCAAGCAAGATGCTAATTCCCCTGCTCCATCTTTGCCACCTACCTCTTCTTCTCCAGTTCTTGTTAATGGTCCCATGACCTCCGTTAAACTCAATGGGACTAATTATACTTTATGATCTTGCTCAGTTCAAGTCTTCCTTTGAGGCAAAGGTATTAAAAAATATTTGGTTAATCCTAAACCTAAGGAAAACAGTCCTGGGTATGATCAGTGGAAACAAGAGGACGCTCAACTTATCTCTTTATTGTTGAATAGCATTAAGCCTAGTATTAGCTCTACTCTGCTGTATCTTGACACTACCAAAGAGATATGAGATCACTTGAAACCTATGTATTCTGGTATAGGTAATTTTACCCGGACTTATGAGGTGTGCAAGGAGTACTTCCGGTTGGAGCAGGATACTCTAAGCCTTGAGGATTATTACTCTCACGTTCAGGGAGTCTGTGAGGAGATGAAGACCTACCATCTATTTACTACTGATGCAGCAGTTTGGCAAAAGCAATATGAGGATCTAAATGTTGTTAGATTTGTGGTAGGATTGAAACTTAAATATGAGGCTATTCGTTCTCAGATTCTGGATAGTTCTAGTCTTCCCACACTGCTTGAGATTTTCTCTCGTTTATAGCGTGCCACCTTGTCTACTCCTTCAAGCATTGATCAAGGTGTCTCCACTGATCGCTCAGCTCTTGTGGTTCTTAGTAGCCACAGTGATGGTCATCGAGGTGGTCGTAGTGGTCGAGGAGGACGTAAAGGAGGTTGTACAAGTGGTCGTGGGGACCATAGTGGACTCCGTTCCTATACTCATTGTGGTCGTGGAGGACACACTATTGATTACTGTTGAGATTTACATGAAAAACCTTCTAGTGTTACTAATCAAACTTCCTATCAGGATGACAACTCAGCTGTTGCTTTCATACCTCGGTCAGCTCCACCAGACACTGGGTCGGTTGCTATTACACTAGGTCGAGAGGAGTATACCTAATTCCTATCCCAGCAACATGCTATTCCATCTCCCTCCACTGCTACTTTTGCCTAGTCAGATACTGATTCCACTTGTTTATTGTCCTCCACTCGCAGTCCTTGGGTCATAGACTCTGGTGCTTTTAACCACATGACTGATGCATCTGGTATTTTTTCTACTAATCAGTCTGCTACTTCCCCACGTAGTGTTATTCTTCCTAATGGTACTTGTTCTAAAGTTTCAGATTTGAGAACTACTCATTTGAGTCTTGATATGTCCCCATTCTCAGTATTATTTGTTCCTCAGTTTCTTTTTAGTTTACTTTTCATTAGCAAGATTACTCGTTCTTTCAATTATTCTGTAACATTTTATCCCTCTTATTATGTATTTAAGGATCTCAAGACGAAAAGAAAGATTGGTATGGGACATGAAGTTGGTGGCCTACATTACTTTGATTTTGATTCACCCACCCGAGCTCTACAGACCTTGTTCTCTCCTTTTCAATGACATTGTCGTCTTGAACATCCCTCTCTCCAGAATCTGAAGCGTCAAGTTCTCAGTCTTAGTTATGTGTCATCTTTGTCTTGTAAAGCTTGTCAATGTAGTAAGCATCACCGTGTCTTTTCAATCTAGAGTCAATAATCGTGTGTCTACTCCATTTGAGTTTGTACATTCTGATGTATAGGGTCCAATAAAGAATATTTCATCTAATAAATATCCTTATTTTTGTGTCATTTGTGGATGATTATTCTCGTGTGACCTGGTTGTTTTTTATGAAAGCTCGTTCTGAATTATTCTCTATATTTGAGACATTTCACAAGAAAATAAAGACTTAGTATGGTTTACGAATTTTACGTTCTGGTAATGCTCGAGAATATGAATCTGATCCTTTTTCAGCTTATCTTAGTAAAACTGACATTATTCATCAAATTTTTTGTGTTCACACATCTCCACAAAACGACATTACTGAACGTAAGAACCGTCATTTGTTGGAAGTCACCCATGCCCTTTTATTCCAAATGAATATTCTCCGATATTTTTGGAGTGGTGTTATTCTTACTGCTTGTCACCTTATTAATCGTATGTCATCCTCTGTGTTAAATGGGCAAAGTCTATATTCTGTCTTTTTTCCTAGTAAGCCCTTATTTTTCCTAATTCCCAAAGTTTTTGGATGTGTCTGTTATATTCACAATTTGGATCCTGAGTTTGATAAACTTGACCCTCGAGCTATTAAATGTGTATTTCTTGGTTATTTCCGCACACAAAAGGGGTATCGTTACTACAGTCCATCTTTGCAATGATATTTTACTAGTGCTGATGTCACATTTGAGGAATCTGTTCCGTATATTCCAATACCTTCTCAACCTTTAGTTCTGGACTTTGGGTCATCTTTTGTACCACCATCTCTTCCCTCATCTTCCGATATTTCGTTGTCCACTATATTACCATCTACTTTACCTCTTCGTGTATACTCTCGTCGTCCTCGACCATCGACCAAGGTGCCCGTACCGTCTTCCTTGTCGCTTTCTGATCTTGGTCCATCAGGTAATTTAGACTCTTTACCTATTGCTCTTTGAAAAGGTACTTATTCGTGTGTTACTAATTATCCCATTACTCATTTTGTTTTATATGATGTTTCGTCTCCTATTTTCTCTTGTTTTACCTCTCAATTATCTACTATATCTATTTTTAAGCATTTACAGGATGCATTATCTGATCCAGGGTAGAGGAAAGCTATGAAAGATGAGATGGATATCTTACATCATAATGGGACTTGGGCTCTCGTTCCTTTACCTCCTGGTAAACGTACTGTTGGTTGTCATTGGATATATATTGTTAAATTTCATCTGGATGGTTCTGTGGAGCATCTCAAAGCCCGACTTGTTGCAAAGGGCGTTACTTAGACCTATGGTGTTGATTATGAGGAAAGTTTTTCTCCTGTTGCCAAAATTTTCTCTGTTCGTATCTTGATTTCTTTGGCTGCTAATCTTGATTGGCCCTTGTTTCAGTTAGACGTCAAGAATACATTCCTACATGGTGACTTGGTGGAAGAGGTATACATGGAATAGCCACCTGGGTTTATTGCTCAGGGAGAGTATGGTAAGAATGTATGTCGGTTAAAAAATTTTTTGTATGGTTTGAAGCAATCTCCAAGGGCATGATTTGGTAAATTTTTAGATGCAATTTTAGAGTTTGGTCTTCTGTGATGTCAGACAGACCATTCTGTGTTTCATAGACAAATGGATGCTGGATATGTTCTATTAGTGGTCTATGTAAATAATATTGTGATCACTGAAAATGATTCTGAGAGGATTGTTAAGTTAAAAATCTTCTTGTAAGATCGATTTTATACTAAGAAATTGGAAATACTCTTATATTTCTTAAAAATTAAAGTGGCTCGATCTAAACAGGACATTTGTTCATCACAGAGAAAATATGTGCTTGACATACTAGAGGAAACAGGTTTGATGGGTGATAGACCGATTGATGTTCCTATGGATCCGAATCTGAAATTATTGATGGATGATGGTATACTGTTTGAGAATCCGGGTCGGTATCGCAGATTGGTTGGGAAGCTTAATTATCTGACTATTACTCGACCAGATATTTCTTATGCAATCAGTATAGTAAGTCAGTTCATAGGATGTTCTATAGTACCACATTGAGAGGCAGTTACTCGTATTCTGCAAATCTCAAACGAGCTCCTGGACTTAGATTGTTATATCGAGCTAATAGTCATCTTAGAATGGAAGATTTCTCAGATGCTGATTGGGCTGGCTCTCCTTCTGATTGGAGATCAACCACTGGTTATTATACTTTCTTAGGACATAACAATATCTCATAGAAAAGTAAGAAACAATTTGTGATAGCAAGATCCAATGCTGAAGCTGAGTATAGGGCAATAGCGCATACGACAAGTGAGTTGACTTGACTACTACACTTCTTCCAGAAAATTAGATTTTCAATTCAACTTCCTTTACAGTTGTTCTGTGACAACTAGGCAACTATCCATATCGCTGTCAATCTGGTATTTCACGAGAGAACCAAACATATTGAGATTGATTGTCACTTAATTCGAGACAAGATAGTAGCTGAGAAAATTACAACTCCATCTTTGAAATCTGAAGATCAGCTTGCAAATATGTTTACCAAAGCATTGAGTCATACGCGTCTTACAGCGATTTATTCCAAACTTAGATTATATGATATATATAGTCCAGCTTGAGAGGGAGTGTTAAGAATATTAGGGTAGTATGTATAAATTGGTAATAGTAAGAGCGTGTATGTGTAATTCTTATTATTATGAGTTAACTATAAATACAAGTGATGTATGAAAGTTAGGTTAAGTTTTAACCTCTCTGTTTCTCTCTAAATATTGTCTCTAATATTATGTTAATCCTCCAAACTTAACACAAGGCAACGAGTTTCACTGTAGAAAGATTAAAAAACAAAATAGATATAAAAGGGTCTGCACAGCCTAAGATCAACATTAGATCCAGTCACAGTAGTAATAACAAAATTGCTTTTAAAATTGGAGATCACCTTCTTATCTACATCAATAGCTTTAGTACAATCTGCTTCAGCTTGGAGGAAGCTGCATGAACAAACATCAAAACAAAAATAAATAAAATAAAATTCTCAAAAACCTGAAAACAAAGAAGTAGAGGCCATTAAACTGTCAAGAAAGAAACAACACCTTCCCAATTCTAGATATGCTGCAGCCCTATTGCTATAGTAAGTAGCATTATTACTGTTGAGTTTGATCGCTTCTGTATAAAAGCCAATGGCCCTCTGCCACTGCTTATCTTTGAATGCCTGATTACCCTGAATTAATAGAATAGGTGAACAAACTAGAACGACAAGCAACAGAAAAGGAAATGCATTTAGGAACAAAACCAAGGGCCAACACGTCATTTAAGGCTTTGATTAGCAATTTCTCATTTCCATAAAAAAGTGATGCACAAGAAAAAGCAATGTTGGCATCATATAGTGGCACATTTAACTGCATTTCATCATTTTAAGGCAGTCTGTCCCACCACATGTTTAGTAGCATGAAAATTAGATTGTACAATTTTACCAAATTAAAGAGCATTCCAATTTACATTGAAAGGGGCTTTAATCACAGCATAAATTTTCTTCCAGAGTATAATGGTCAAAAGCTCATGAGGCAAGCACAAAACTAAAAGCTCAACCACAAGAATAAAAACCGGAATAAGCGTATATTGAAATAATTAGAACAATTTTTCTAGGGTCTTGATACTTGACTCAAAAAGGTCATGTCTCAAATATTTTAGGTTTGAATACATGAATCATGTTTCACTACTATTGTACTTTTTTTGGCACTGTGCCTTCTGTCGGGGTTTTACAACAGGTTATATGGCAAGTATCACTCCCAACCAGACTTTATTAAGTAATGTTTTGTACCTATGGACTAATGAATTCCACAATCTGTCGAAATCCATCAAGGTCATATTATCTCACCCAGGCAATTGTTTAACTCTAAATTAACCCCTAAAGACTGGAACATTGAGAATTAAGATGGCTCGTTCTTGCAACTACATATATGAACAATATGTAATAATTGCACAAATTATTCCGGTACACTGGCTGTTATGTTGCATGACATTCCTCTTGTTGGGCATAGCAAACATCTGTTATGTTCTATCCAACTTCTTCTCCAAGGTGTGAAGTTGGATAGAAAAGACAAGATGATACCCTGTGGATTTAGGAATCTAAGGTTGCAGTATGATCTTTTAGCTTTAGAAGGCAAGAATTTTGCTCACAAAACAAATATCCTAGGTTGGGAAAGACTCCCTATTTATAGGTCCATAATAAGGGTAACCTTAGCAATCAAGAAAACATAATTTCTGAATGACTGCTCAAGTATTGGGAGGACAATCATAGGGCAGTGGTCACTAGAATGAAAATAAAATTTCAAACCTACCTAGGAGAGGACCGCTTGAGTAACCCAGAGAGCGACCCCTACTCTCCGTTTAGCGTTTACCCGATTTTTCCCAAAGTCAAGAAAACACCACTCTAGAAAAGTTAGTAAGCATAGGACGGTCCCTATTGATTTTTGTAAGCCAAAAAGCAAACAAAAAATGTGTCCTCTTGAGCACTAAAGGGCTTTGGTCAAGAGGGGTCCTATGATGGCTCAAATTTATATTTTCAAAACACACAAAAAGTTTAGAAAAACCTTCTTTGAAGAACACCTAGGACCATACTCGGATCAGATATCGATTCCATTTTAACACTAATCTTCGTAAGTTTATTAAACCAAAAGATTATCTTAGGTCTCTAGGTCATTACCTTATTTTAAGCAAGAATGTGCATAAAGAGTGCTTTTGATATAGCTCTGACGGATGAATTCCTCTTTTTAAATAACGTTTTTGGGTCTTCATCATTGTAGCACCATGACCATGGAATAATTTGAGATCTACAAGGACTTCACGAAATTAAACAATTACAAAACATGATATGTGACTCGATCCATGAGAGCACCCCCAATAGCACTAGTCTCCTCAATAAGAGCTACTTTATACACCTATTAATCAAAAAGATGCAATACATGTAATGCCCCAAAAATCCAGGGATCCTTTCTTAATCCACTGATCAACCATCAACCCGTGGAAGTACCCGTGAATGTCGTATAACCTGGCACCATGTCATTACATCCCCTTCACCGGGGTCATAACGTAAAACGAATGGCTAGCAAAATCTCCTTTGCCCGAAAACTCTAACCAATACATAACATGTTACACATTACTTGTATGACCATTCCAAGGTCCAATTCTCATCAATTTCCATTTAATATTGACTAATTACATCCTTTAAATAAGAAGACTCAAGACCCAAAGGCTTGGCAAAGTTATATTTAAATTTTGAAAATACTGAAAGGGGTACTGGTACCTCTTACACTTGGTACCGGTACCTGAGCCTTCTGTTTTCATGTATTGGTACCTAAGTGACGTAGTACCAGTATCTGGACCTTCAATTTTTCAAATTCCCTCTATTTGCCTAGTACCAGTACCTGAGTGACTTGGTACTGGTACCTAAACCCACTATTTGCTAGGTACTGGTACCTATATATCGTGATACCAGTACTTGAGCACACTGTCCATCAAGGTAGTTGTGCCTGAAGCCTTGGTACCAGTACCTGAGCCCATTGGAATCCAAGTACTGGTATCTTTAAGTCTAAGTACCGGTACCTAGGTCATCCAACTCTAAACCATTCAATCCCATTCATACACAATATATTCATTCATTGGCATGAAAACATGGTCCAAAAAGTTTGTTACATGTCTCTTTTTAACAAAATTACAAGTCCAATACAAATTTACATATTTATGTACAAAATGCAATTCCCAAAAAGCCACAATCCGACTCCTTCATCAACAAGGAACCAAGTGAAGGTCGTCTACCGGTGTTGTCCTGTACCTAAAATGTATTCTCCATAAAGGGTGAGTCATGCTCAATAGTATAGCAGCTAAAAAGACTACTCCCCAACCCAGATACATATGAAATGTTCATATATAATTCATCAATCAAAAATTCATTCAAAAATATATAATTCATAAATAAATACCACAATGTCGTATCATGCCATGATATGAAACTCACACATGCAATGCAACCCGAGCTCTCCACCGACTCCCATAACACATGCAATGTTATGCGTTTGCATCCAGACATTTCAAGCCCCTGCCATTAATACTTAACATTCAATGACCATTTTATAAAAACTCTCAGGTCTTTTTTGGGGTGGATATTTATAGAATTCTACCAACGGGTACCCAACCGACACGGCATCTATGAACTTCCACCAACAGCTCCGCATACGCTGACACACTTTATAGACTCAATACCAACAGGAGAATCTAGCTCTTCTTGTTAAACTCAACCCTTGTTTTCAATGCAACCTGTGCGACTCAGTCGAACCTAAGTCCAACTTTCCTAAGCTCATGTATCAACCCACCAAATATGGTATTTGATCAAAAACATGCACACACCCCCACACTTATGTTCAATGTTCACAAATGTGATGCTACCCGTGCACATACAAATGTCATGTACAATTGCAATTTCAATGTCATATTCAACATATGAGCATATTATGAACATATTTCATCTCCACAACAATTTTCAATTTCTTTCAAATGTCAATTATATCACAAAGCATATAATTACATTCCAGTCTCCACTAAGTATGTTATATCATTTTCATGTCAAATAACACACTCAATCAATCATAATAGACATTTTATCAAACACCAAAAAAATGCAAAGATTATGTAAACACATAGCATGTCCAAAACATCACATTATCCATAAAATTCACAACCAAGCAATTTCATCAAAACCCAATCATGCAAAATTTGGTTTAAATCATGTGTCATATACCCATTTCATATTCTAGCAATCCTAAATATGTGTTATACATGAGATTTCACCTCTAACACCCTACCCATTTCATATTTTAACCCTAGGTTGAAAATAAACTTAATTAAGAAAAAAACTCTACCTCTTGAAGCACAAATCTGCGTAGGAGAAGTCACAAACGACCCAAATCAAGCCTCAAAGCCTTTATCCCAAAAATCCCATCCTTTGAGAGTTTGGTGAAACGCACGATCTTTGGTACGTCCGCGTAACTCTCGTCGCGTAGAACAACTTTATCTCTTGACCCAAAAAGATCCGACAGTCGAATCACCTTAGATCGAAGGAAGAAGGTGGAGAACCCTTTACTTTTCTCTCTCTATTGAAAATGGCTAGTGTAAATGGGGAGAAAATCTGATTTTTCTCTCCTATTTATACCCTCATATGTTTGGCTCTCATTAAATCACACATTACATCTTTTCTGATATGATTTTATTCCGAATCAATTAAAACTCGTTCTGCTTTAAGTTTAGTACATTTTTATCGAACTAACTTAAAAAAAAAATTCTGGGTTCCACGACCAAAATTTGATCTCATTTATTTTAATCGTGTGACGCCCGATTGCCTCGTAAAAAATAAAAAATTTAACTATCTCGGAATTTGATGAAAATTGATTGGGTAGCTAAATTTTGCAAGACGAATCCAACGATGTGGTCCGTTTTGTCATCAGAGTTTTAAAAAAATTTGGGTTTTCAACCTGTACCGTACAACTAATTATCATTTTGCCCTTTTTAATAAAATTTTAATTTTTCCCGAGTTTTACAATACATGATATGTGCCTCGATCCAGGCCAATGTTTTTTTGGCATCCATAAAACAAGCAAGTCCGTACACTCGCCTAGACGCAATCAACTCGCCTATTCGTGTATGAATGATGCTCTACCTCACTTGGCTTGTGCTATGCATCTTTCCACTATTGTGTTTTCTTTGTTTTGAATAATGTGAATGCCTAAAAATATTTACTAAGATGTGTCATGCATCTTTGGAGTGTGTCCAAGAGGGCCTAGGTTTCTTTCCTCACCCTTTTAGCTGTGGGCCATAGCACACCAAAAACATCCAAAACATTTGCAAAACATTGCTCATATGTACTATTCACAGCACCTGTTTCAATCTGCCAACTTCCATTTCTTGTACTTATTTTGGTCCTACATCAAGATAACATTTGGATATTGGCATCCACCTAACTAATAAGTTAAATTTTTCTCTCTTAATAAAACTTCTACTCAACTCAACTCAACTCAAAACATGGACTTTGTTTTCACCAATTTGCTTTGTCTAGGCAAAACCCTAAACCCTATCAATTCTAATATTCCTTTAATAACATTCATAAATGACTGAGGTTCTATCTGGCTGTCAATTACCTACTTCTAGTGATTTTCACCTACACTATATGAATGTCACTGACAAGATGGAATAGTAACCATAGAAAAGGACAATATTTCAAAGCTTTCTGATAAAACGAAGAGGAACATGTATAGCTTTTCGAAATGACATTTATTTTCCAAAATGAAAATTGGAATACAAAGATGAAAAATTAGAAGTTTTGCCGAAAGACCATCATGCAAAACAGGAGGAAGGGAAGAACAAAGAATAAAAGGAGAAAAAAGAGATTTGCCAAACACTCGCAAAGTTTAGGTATACAGACACACAAATACTCACTTGCCCATAAAATTCACTCTGACGGAAGAGAAAGATTACATCACTCTTTATAATGGGAGTGTTGCCGACTAAACTCAAATTACTCTCCTACTAAAACTCCATTAAAAACACTCCTAATCAAATAAATACTCCTTAGTTAAACAATCCAATACATGATAATCAATAATTATAAGTTCAGAAGTAAAGGCTGCGATATTATGTTAGGAGAAAGAGCGAAGAATAGAAGAAGAGAAAGAGAGGAATTCAACGAGAGAAGATGAGAATAATGCGTGTAGGCTACGTTGCACTACACTCTTATTTCTACTAAACTTACATCATGAGAATTACGATTCTACCCTTCAACACTCAAAATATAAAATATGAACGGTAACACTCCCCTTTAAGCTGGAACATAAAGATCAAATATGCATAGCTTGGAGGAAAGATTATTGAAGACAGATTGAGTTAACGGTTTAGTAAGAATGTCACCAAATTGATCACTAGACTTGGTGTATGGTGTGATAATCACCTTAAGCATCAAAAGATCTCGAATAAAATGACAACTTCAATGTGTTTGATCCTCATGAAATACCTGATTAATGGCAATAAAAATAACTACCTGGTTATCACAATGCATCTCAATAGGACAAAGCACATTGATAACAATATCATGAAGGCCACAATATCTCACACTCAGTATGAACTAGAGCCTGGCATCCAGATATTCCTTTCTTTGGTGCTCCTTTTAGAGACTGAAGAACACGACAGACAAACAACCACCCAATGAAGCTTACGGAGAGCGTGCATGAACTGACTAACCACACCAACAACATAGGTAATATCAGGTTGTTATTGTCAGATAAATCAGTTTACCAACCAACCTACAATAGCGCCCAACGTCACCAAAAATGTACCACTCAACATCAAACTTAACTGTAGAGTCCATAGGAGTATTGGCTGGTGTGCACCAAGCATCTCAATCTTAAATAATAAATCCAATACATACTTCTGTTGGCACAAACTGATGCCTCTTTTTGACCGAGCAACCTCGATCCCAAGAAAGTATCAAAGAATACCTAAATCTTTGATATAAAACTGTTTTCCCAAATAGACTTTGAAGTGGGTAATACTATTTGAGCTATTTCCACTAATAATAATGTCATCAACATACATAATAACAATAATAACACTTGTGGAAGAAGGACGAATAAAAACCAAATAGCCAAAACATATTGAAGTACAACAGTACTGAACTTATCAAACCAAGCACAGAGTGATTGTTCAGACCATATAGTTCTTTCTTCAGACAACACACTAATTGTTCCTTACTGGATGGCAACATAACCTAGATATTGGACCACATATACCTCCTCCTATAGGTGTCTATGTAAAAATGTATTCTTGATGTATTCAAATGCTAGTTGTGGAGCTAGAACATATGGAACAACTTGTCTGTCATTGAAATGGCGATACACCTGCTAAGGAAGAGTAGTAATCGATGAGAAATAAAGATACACAGTCTAGTACAATAAACAATAAGAGCTCCCCCAACTGAGAGAGACTAAATATGAGTAAAGAGTATGCCCTTACGTAAAAAGAAGGAAGAGGACTCAAAAAAAGTAACTTCAACACTAACATAGTATTGGCAAGAATCAGGGTAATAACAACTTTTCCAAGTACAAGAATATCCCCAAAAAAACACACTTGACCGAATAAGAGAAAAGTTTATCCTGTCCCAGACCAAGAAGATAAACAAATATAACACAACTGAAGAAACGAGGAGTGACATTCGCTTAATAAGATAAAGTGAACTAAGAACAACATCAGCCCAATACGAATTTGACACATGCATGTTAAACACTAACGTACGGACAACATCCAACAAATGACAATTCGAAAATGCCAATTTATTGGGAGGTATGTAGACAATTGGTTTGATGGATAATTCCATGGCCAGCACAAGATTTTCATAAACAATTGAATATACTCAAAGGCATTGTCAAACCTAAGAACTATGATTCACATATTAAACTGAATCAAAATTTTATTATAAAATGTATTAAAGATTCTAGGCAATTCAGACCGATCTTTCCTAAGAAATAACCAAGCCATATGAAAAAAAATTATTAACAAACAATACAAAATACTGAAAACTAGAAATATTTTTGACTCTCGCAAGACCACAAATGTATATATGAACATCAAAAGAACTAGACTGAAGACTTGAATAACTAGGAAGAAAAGAGTTGCAGTGATGCTTGTTTAATTGACAGTCGTCACATTCTAGCACCGAAGAACTTAAACCATAGATAACTTAACATTACTTTTGCAAAGAGGGTTAACCCAATCGGAAACACCACTGAAGAGGAGACACAATAACACTCAAAGGAAAACCAAAATCAACAAGATCTAAATAGTAAAGGTCATTGTTCTCATACCCCAAACTAATTACCTTCTTCATCTTGAGGTCTAAAAAAATACAAGAACATAAAGAGAACGTTATTAAACACTATAAGGACTTAGTTAACTGACTCATAGATAACAAGTTAAAGGAAAAATTATAAACAAACAAACCAGAGCTTAATGGCATAGACTAAGTAGGACAGAGATCGTCAATCTCATGTACGGGTCGAAAAGAACCATCACCTAATACAATACATGAGTTAGACAAACAAAAATTAGAGAATAGGTAAAAAATACCAAACATATGAGCACTAACTACTGAATTAATGATCTAAGATGATGAAGAAGGTCAAGTAACCACACATGCAAAGTTACCACCATTAGTAAAACCGATAGTAGGAACAAATAAACATGTAACAAGTGAAGATAACTGTTGAATGAGCTGACAAAATTGGCACGAAAAATCATCATGAAAATCAGTAGTAGATACAACTAGACCATTGTAGAAATCTCATGTTCTAGAGAACCCGGAATGCCATTCGAAACCTGATTAGCATATGTTGGTCTTCCATACTAATCCCAACAATAATTCTCATAATATCTCATGTGACAACAATAGGTATACTTGACCACAACCTGATAAACCACCACTTCCACTAAATCCTATATATAGACCACCACGACTGACATTATAGAGTAAATCACGACTGACCCCATTACTGCAACTCAAACCCACAAGTAATTATGCAGCGCCGAACCAAAAAACAAGATTCAAACCAAAAATAAGATTCAAACCACAAACAACCCACTAATCCACCAAGTGTCGACAATCACACAAACTAATGTAAAAAGTACCAAGAGAATAACCAAATTTGAACCAAAGGCTTTAGAAACTCAAGTCACAACCAAATAGTAACAAATAATATGACTAGACTTAGCAAAGTAGTGCGCCGAAGTAAACCAACCACAGATCCTCAACCACAACCAATAACCAACTATCTATAAGCAATCATTGGGCAAAACAACAACACACTAGAGTAACCTATAGAAGCCCCGATCATTGTTCAAGGCTAGACCAGTAGTCAAACAGCAAAAACTTACTAAAATCATGTCAAAACCAAAAACAAACCTCTGGACATCACAAATCCAACTTCCTAAATTCTAATCGAACCTATCTCTTTGTATTGAAACTTCCCCAAAATAAGTCACCAACAGAACAGTGATCCAACACCAAAAAAAAATACAAAAATCACGTCCAAAACAAGCAACAAACAATTGAGATTACTAGTTGCAATTCTTATGAAGAATTACAACGAAATCCACTATCTACAACAACAAATCAGAGAACAACCAAATAAGGACACGTGTCTGCTGTTCATCAGGTCACTATTCCCAAAGTAACTTTCCATCGGTACTGTTCACTGATTATGATTCATGCAACACTGTTCATGCAGTTGTTCACGTACCACTATTCATAGGAAGATAATGAGAGAAGATGGTTCATAGTCTGCTACCTACTACACTTTCAAAGGTGATCATATTGTCTAATAAGAAGGGAAGGCACTTTATCTTCTCTTAAAATGAAAGTAACAGTAGTAGCTGCCACCCCAAAAAGAAGGGATGGACTGTATGAGATTCAATGCTTGGGGATCAATACATAAAAAATGAATTAGACTTTATGAAATAAGACACACAAGTTATACTGTCAAATTAGTAAAAAGCACATCATACTAAAGATATATCAATGCTGACTCTTGCTATAAATTAGGCTTCAGGGATTCAAATAATCCTGCACATTTGACAATTGGAAGAAAATGAAAATGCATACCTTTTCTTTAGCAATCTCAGCAGATGTTTCCAGGCCAACAACATTAGTAGATAATTTTGACTTTGCAGCCAAATCGGCATGCTCCTCCAGACAAGTATACATGCTCTGTAACGTATCTAGTAAAAATCGATCACCCCCATGCCTGGCTATGAAAGATACAGAAACAGGATATTTGTCGTGGAATCCCAGTGGTACTGTGACCTAGGGATGACAAAAGAAAGATAAACATAATAGAAAAAAACATGAGTTCATCGTTATACAAGGGGAAACTTGAAGACATACAATTGTAACAATGGTCACAGCACTAAAAAGGATTCTTTCTATTGTAATGATCTCATATTACTTCTTTCAATCCTTGAGCATGCGCACTCCAGCACGCAAGAGAGAGAGAGAGAGAGAGATAGAGAGAGAAAGGGAGAGACCTGACAGCAACCAGACATGCTAGCTAAACTCAGAAGAGTAAATGCACGGGCAAGGTGGTCCTCCGATGAAATCTCCTTTGCACCAAGTTTTGGGGGAGGATCAGCAATGGTAGGGACAACTAGAATACCGTCATCCTGCCAAAATTATTCGTTTGCAATAACAACAAGCATAAGTCAACAGCAATCCCGAGAGAATAGATTTATACAATAACACCAATGAATACAGCAAATGCTTGGTCCACAATCTGACACACTGACACCAGTGTCACATTTCAATTCAAGAGCCAATGTTGGTCAACTTTTCAGAATCTGTGGGCATGATTAGGCATACTATTTTCCATATAAAGATGTTTGTTTGCAAATGTGAAAGGACAATGGATAGAAACAAATGAAAATAGCATGCAGTATCTACGAATTGCACCAAAATGGCAATACAAGTGCAAACAATCCTCAACGAATCGCACCAAAATGGCAAAAATTCCTAATTTTGCTTCCTTCTGTTAAACAATTATTGAAAATTGTAATTTTTAAGTCGTTAAATAATTATAAGATATATAATATATTTTATTATAGACGCATCTAGGCCATACCCGTATATTTTTTTTTATAAGTTTTACCGTTTCATCGTATCCATATATGTGCTTCCCATAGAAACATTAATGTGTTCTAGAATAGATGGCTTAAGAGGATAACAAAAATTACTATTAGTAGGTATGCTAGCTACACTTTGTCTATAAGAAATGGATGGTTAATGAGAAACTATTAATCATTAGTTTAGAGGAAGTAAAATAATTCTAAGATTTAAAAATAGTACATCAGAAAAAAAAGTAAAGTGGGCAAGATATCCAATCTACAGTTAAAACAACAAAGAAGCAAGATCATCTATTAATTCACCTAAAGTTCTCCATCCCGCCAAAATGCAAACGAGCGGAATTCCCTCAAAATCCTTAACTCCTTAACTAAAGTCCAAAAAGATGCTAAAGAGGAAATCTAAACCCGTAACCCTTCCACCAACTCACATTCGCCTTCAAATGTTATAGAATTACTTTCCATCCAAATGACCAGGTAGCAAAAGTTGGAACATTCCAGAGAGTCAACCCTTTATTGTGCCTCCCAAAAACCATGAAATTCTATACAAACAGCAAAAAATGACCCAAGAACCACCCAGCTCATACCTATCAATTTACATAACTTGTTCCAGATAAACAATACAATAGGACAATGCAAAATAATCAACACTTTCACCATCACGTCTAGAAATCACACACATTGTTAAAAAAAAAGTTTAATGTCCTCTCCTCTAAGGTATATCACTGGTATTAGTCTTACCATGAGGAATAATCCATGCACCAATTTACACACCTTAATAGGTACTTTAGCCTTCCATACCATCAAAGATTGAGGAACAATCTAACATCATTGATAACCATCATCAATGATTTACAAGAAATGCACCTGAAGAATCAAAGAACCCAACTTCTTTTATAACAGAACCCTTGATTCAAATTAGAGTTATTAAGAACAAAGATTAGTGAAACCAAATCCAAAGTATTATTATCTAGATTTCTATGAAACCCAAAATCCTACGAGACAGAATGATAATTAAACCGCATCATATTCATATAAGCGATGGATTCATTAAAAGCATGAGAAATGAGATGAACAAGAGAAGAAAAAAAAGCATGAAAAATAGGACTTGCCAACCCAAAACATCCTCCAAAATTGAACTCCCTCCATTACCCCCAACAAATTTTACATTTAAACAATATAGGATCTCATTTATTGATGTGTAATCCATATTTACTCTTGATAACTGAATGCCACAATAAATTTTGTTCCGCGTGAATTCTCCAAACTCATTTCCCTCTAAACTCATTTCCCTACTACCAGCCCCAATTCTTGCCTCCAAATCTCCTACAGAAAGACAATCATCAAGTTTAGATTTGGAGACCACAACCCAACAAACTAAATAATCCGTTCTTTCCAAGACAAGAACTCGTCGCTCATCCTTTTTTCAATTTTCTTCGCTCCTCATTGCTATCTTTCATGTCAACCTAAAGAGAGTATAAAAATATTGTTAGACATACCAACTAACGTTAACCTATCCCTTTTGGAAATGAAAACTTTCATTGACCGATCCAACCTTTTTTTCAATGTTTTCAACAACAGGATCTCAAAAAGTCAAAAATACAAGGGCGAATCACACTTCACACCCTACAATATAGGTCGACATATCCGTATCAGATACGATACTCATCAGATACTCAAGGATATGAATCAAATATACATCATATGTATCCGATAATTAATAAAATATGCACTCTACGCATGGAGCAAGATGTACAAATTTTAATTTTAATCTATAACATTTTCTTTCGGGTTTATACACAATATAAAACATTAGCAAAATTCAATTTGACTTCGAAAATGTGAGTATTTTTCTCAGGTGTTATCTACTATAACATGTCAAAATAGTATAAAAAATGAGTTAGTTACACTATAACCTTTGAAACAAATACTTGTAAGGTTTTATATATACTTGTAAGAATTTCCTTGGTGAACTCACAACACTTGATGCCCTAGTAGATAGTGAGGTTTTATATATCTTCTTCCTCCAAACTCCTTGGCTTTTAGACTTATATTCACAGTTTGGCTGCTTGAAATTAGACTTGGTAACTAATTTTTCCTCATTTTTCATAGTCTTCCTCTTGGCTTCTTGTGTGGCACTTGAAGTCATGGCCCAAAGTTTCTTTCTGGGTTCCTATGTAGACCTTGGTTTTGTTCCTGCAGCTCTTGTCTGGTTAGGAATGTATGAAAGCATTTACTGTTGTGGTACAAGTTTCAGTGTCATGCCCAACATGCCCACATGTGAAGCATATCTTTTTGAGACTTTCATATGTTAAACATTGCTTGTATCCATCAATAAAAACATGCGAGACCAAAGGTTTAGAGGTATTATTATGAACACAAAGTGTTTCAAATCATCCCATAGACCGATCCTTTGTCGTAGCGTCAAACTTTATCAACCTACCAACCTTGGGTCCTATTTTCTTAAGAATGTCAAGAGTCATAATACTCAATTGGTAGACCATGCAAGCGAACCCATAGCACCATACTGTCAGCCACTGCAACTATTGGTTGGAAATCAGGCTCCCATTATCCAACACCGATGAAAGGTTGCCCAAGGAACCATGGACCACCACCGAGTATCCTCATAGCATCTACTTCCAATGGAAAACGAGCAATACATTACCCTTCACGCAAAGCTATGCATTCCATTCCATTCTTTGCTTGCCATAAGAGAGCCAATTTCTCAATCAGGTATTAATAGCTATATGTTCGCCCATAGGTTTTAAAAATAATAGTGTTAGTCCAAGGATGACTAATTATGATTTTATCTTCTTTGGACAAGGTTATTCAAGAGCTCCTTGACTCATCTTTCAATTCTCATTCAGAAGCTGAGCACTGGTTATGCCAATTAATGGAACAAACTTCCTTGATGACATTTGGGATCAATGCATTTTTGTATAAAATTGATAGGGGGCTTGTTAAAAAGGGTGCTTCTTGGTAGTTTGCAAAGGTAGTTACTCAGTTAGGGAGTTGGCTGTGGATGTTTTGGTGGAGGGCTAAGGGATTAATGCCGGTAGATGATAAAAGGTTGTGAGGTTATTGAAACCGGGAAAGAGTGGAGGGTTGTGAGATTTTGGAACAAGGTTAAGGCTTGGGTGTATGGGTGGTCTGGTGATTGAATCTAGTAATTTTTAAGATGTTCAATAATGGTAAAATATATAATAAGTTTTATTATAAATGTATCCCGGTCGTACTCGTATCTTTTTTTTTTAGGTTTTGCCATATCGCCGTATCCGTATCCGTGCTTCCTAGGTGTCAATGAGTTAGCTTTTGACGTAAACAATAACGAAAATTAACAGAAGGGCCACATTGCAATAGTTTGATATATTGAGGGTGCAATGTGAAAAATTTAATCTTTGAGAGCGCAAAATAAAAATTAAGAAATCTTTTAAAGTTCAAAGTGCGAAAAGCTCAAAAAACAATGGTTTCCAACCCAAAAAGAATAACTCAATATTTTAAAGGCCATTCACCCACAACACATCATAAATTTGATCTTTATTTGCATTAACCATTAGCCTTGAAATCAAACCAAACACCTTCACATTCTTGAAATTTATTAATCACACCAAACACCTTCACCTTCACATTCTTGAAATTTATTAAGTGTGAAATATATGTCCTCTCCCTCCCTACATCAAATTCTCCGCAAGATTACATGTTTTAGCTCTCATCACTATCCTCCTCAACCTATCAATCACTAAAATAAAGAGAAACAGCAATAAATGATCACCTAGTTTCAACCTTCTTGATGCATTAAACCTCCCCTGTAAGCTTCCCATTAAGCAAAACTAAGAAATTTATTGGTTGCTAACAACTATCAATCCACTTCCTCTACCTATACCCAAAACTTTTTTCCTTTCAATCTACAATCAAATAAATTCCAAGCCACATGGACATAGACTTTTTCAACGTCAATTTGGAAAACATGTCACAAGAGCAACGTCTAAATTTTTTCTTCCTTTGAAAAAGGCTCCGTGGCATTACGAAATAGTCTCAATAACAATCTCCCATAATGTTATATTTAAAACTTTTGCAATGATCTTGTAGAGGCTAAACACCAAGCTAATCTTCATAAAATCCCTCATTTTCACGCGCTTATCTTTATTTGGCATAAGACAAATAAAGGTTACATTTGTGATTCCCTTAACCACCCCATTTTGAAAAAATTCAACAAATATTTCCACCAAAACCTCTTTCACACCCAACATTCCTATAAACATTTATGGTGAATTCATACACTCATGAGCCTTGTCCACACTCAAAGATAGCAATTTTCACTTCCTCGCCAGACCTTTCTACCAACCTTGCTTTATTTTGATCAATCGGAACAAAGTAATAGTCCCATTAACCGACCAAGGATCTTTTAACTAAGTTTCCCAAACAAAATTATCAGAGTCCACATACTTCTTGTCACACATCTCTCATTCAGTTACTAGAACAATACCTAATCACATTGAAATTCACACGATTAACACCTTTATTTAGTATTTTAAGAATAAAATGCCAATTTTTTGTTATTTTCAACCACGTATTGACATGAATCCTTGTAATATTAGGAGAATTTTTTCATTTATTTTTACTATTTTATGTATTAGTGAATTTTTTGTTCATGGGAAAACTATAAGTATGGGTTTGATTGGAAAATAATAGAATCTTAGTTTTAGATTTTTCATACACAGGGTAGATAGGTCAAACCGAACACAACACGATAATAAATAGGTTGGGACAGTATCAAAACAGCTCACATAATTAATTAAATGGGTTGGAATCATGGTTCTGGGTCGCGATATCGGCCATCGACTCGAAGAGGTCTAAGACACATCGGTCGGAACGTCGCAACGCGATATCAGGCAATACGGCCTAAAAGAAAAGATTGAACATAAGGGTAGATTCAAACCATATCACAGTATCGCAAAACTGTATCGGCCGATTCGGTGATGATAACTCAGCAACTCAGAATTGACTCAGCCAATTTGTGCAAGATTTAGAATTTATACGTAATGGTAACAGTATTGACTCATATCGGTATCGTTCGGGCCTATACTTTGAACTTGGGTTAAGGTGGGGTTGACTAGGGCTGGACATAAATCCGAACTAACGCGACCCTAACACAACACAATTGCCACTCCTAAAAGAGTTGTTCGTATCAGTACTTGCAATTTTCTGCTGGTAACCAGCTGAATTACTGGTTAATTAAGCCCATATGAACTAGCACTTGATGGGATAAGGGAAGCCTATTTTTAAAAAACAAAGTTAAATATTAGTCTTGAAAAGTACAGATAAGGAAGCATGGCAGTTCAAAAATAAGAACGCATAAATATGTATACCATAGCACAAAGAGGAACAATGGATCATAAAACCTAGCAATTTGACAGCCACCACCAGCATTAGCGTAACCTATGTGTAAGACTTAACTGGAAAAACCCCAAGTAGCACTGTTTGGAACATTAAAATAGACTGACCAAAAAAAAAGAACATTAAAATAGAATTGGGATGCACATCACCACATAACCAGTGTTACCGATAGCAACGAAAAAGGAAAAGTGGAATCAGTAGTTGACACCTGAAAAGATCTACTTTTAGTAGTATTGTGAAATTGATTGTTTAAGGGAGTACTAAAATAGACTGGGGATGCAAATCAGCACACAACCAGTGTTACCGATAGCAACAAAAAAGGAAAAGTGGAATCAGTGGGTGACACCTGAAATGATCTACTTTTAGTACTAACTTAAACAATCAATTTCGCAATTTTCAAACTTTATTCCATGATACCACACCTTCATATTAAAGAAACAAGCGTTCCTATTATTCAGAAGTAATAGATCATCCATTTATCCTATTCGTATTACTTGCAAAAATCTCCACCGAAGATCTTACATATGAATGAATACCTTCAAAAGGGTGTTTAGAGCTGCACGCATTTCATTCCTCAATAGATGGAAATTCTCAATCTCCCTATCTGGTACCTCCAGCCTTTCATGTACTTGTGCTGAGACAACAGGACCAAGATTAGGCTTCACAGAGTTGATCCATCCATCATGATTGCGATTGAATTCATGCCTGTATCAAAAGCAATAGCAATAGCAATAGCAATAAGATAACAGTAAGACATTGTTCAGCAATGTTGACCACAGGTAAGAAATTAGGAATCTGACAGGCTTATAAAAATATACGAAGAAGCATGCATCACAAACTTCAAGCATAAGAGTAAGTTTCTCAAACATGTCCGGTTCCATAATTATTTCACACATAATATGCTACATCTTTTTGATGTCAATCACGATCGGACAGAACCAGCAAGGATAGCATAATTTGATATGTTAATCTTACATCAATAAATCTTGTCATCCAGGAAACAAGAAACCAAGGAAACTGATAGAGGAAGCTAACTCAAATCTGGTACAAACACTATCATCAGAGCTTTATGCACAAACCGTGTAATACAGACTCAGCCAACAACCAACTGAGAAGAGCAATTGCCTCACCTTCTACCTCTGCTTTTACAAAGGTGCATTAAAAGCTGGCAGCATAAATCTCAAACAATAATATGGATATCCTATCCTTCTACCTCTGCTTTTACAAAGGTGCATTAAAAGCTGACAGTATAAATCTCAAACAATAACATGGATATCCTATCCTACAGGCTCCAGTCCACTGAGCATCCAAGGCTTCCTTTCTTTCCTTGTATTCCCTTTCCAAATGATTTTGTATTCGTTAGAGAGAGTAATTACTTTGGTAGCATTATGATCTGCTATAACCGACAAGGACACTTTACACTCTTTGTTAGTCATCCCCAATATGAAAAGAAAATACAGAAATTAGCTTGTTCCAAACCATCACAACCTCGATGAAATCCAAGCATCGTACCAATTTTATTAGGACACTGTGGAAGATTACCTACACATCCTTTTGAAGCACCATAGCAATTTCACAAGAAGCTCTCACGTGCTGTAATTCATTTTGTACCTCACACTACGCTTTTCAAGAATTACAATTATTTATTTCACACATGAACTTTCAGGCACTTCCCAACCCAAAGCTGTCAAATAAACCAATTCACACTTCTTCTTCCAAAACCAATAATGATGATAATTACAATGACGGTGATGATGATAACCAAAAAAAGAAAAGTAAGAAAAATAGAGGGAAAAAAGGAAAAAGAAGAACGAAGAACAATCACCTGTCGGCTACTAAACCCACAAGTCAAGATATAAGGCAAGAAAAAAATAAACTGAAAACAACATCAGATACATTACATACCATCCCCAGCAAGAAAAGGAGTAATAGAAAAAAAATTTATGAGCTATGCTATTGAAATCATTTCCTAGAACCTTAGCAATCTCACCTCTGAAGTAACTGCATAACATTTGCTAGCAATCTCATTGAGGAATATTTTACTTCACCATTTGATTTCTGGCTATAAAACGTCTTTAAGCTTGGAATTTTAGAATCAAAATAGTCTCCAAGATTGTCATGCTTTAGAACTTGTCCTGAAAAAGGTGCCACTTAAATGCTATGCGGAGAAATTTAACTTGAGAAAAGTAATGGAAAAAAATCTATCCCAAACTAATGGAAAACAGAAATATGGGAAAAGATCATACTTCCAAAAAGCTTCTCGGTGGATTTAATAACCACCTGGCTAACCCGATCAACAGCAATCTTCGACTGTTGAAAACAATCATCAGCTATTATAATATTCCTAGGATTACGTTGAACTGCAAATGGAAGTTGCAGTAACACATGTCCAACACGACGTAGTACGTTGGGATCCTTAGCAAACCATCCTGCAAGAGTGATTTTACAAGTGAAACACAAGATTAAAAGTGTCCATATAGGACAACAGCAACCATAAAACTTATCAAGTTGGAAGTTCACAACAGCTAAATGCAAAATTCGAGACTCGTAGACTCCTAAAAATAGCACCCAGCTTAGTCCCCATTAATGGAGATCTGGGAGTCATAGATTAGAAACAAATTATCATTTGGCATTATTTGCACAAAGTAGACGCCCTCATGTTCGAACTCATAGCCTCAAGGTTATTGAGCCAAATTTTAACCACCAAAACCAGTAGCCTCCAACCTCAAGTAGAAGGCTTCTATTCTTTTCACGTCGGTCCAACTTATCTCAGTTGAAAGTGATATTAATCAAAAACGTGGCATCAATTCCAGTTTCAAGATTCACAAAATTTCAAATCATATAAATAATGGCATTGAAATGATGGATCAAAATCATTTCACAGTGATATTTTGCTGGACACAATCTGGTAGACATGTCATGCATGAAACTTGGGGTCAAAAATCCTTCCAAGGCTCCTTGAAAAGGATATTCAGTCCTGGAAAGATAACTGGAGGAGTGATAGTCCATCTTCATTGTTATTTCCTCGTTTGAATAAATTATCTCGCCGTCATAATGCATTAAATGCTTCTATAGTGTGCTCCATTGATTATCCTCTCAGTTTGGGCTTTAACTTCTTCAAAAATCTTAACGATCTGGGGGCTTGAGCTCTCTTTTCCATCGAGTCAATCAGAATCTGATAGGAGAATGTGGCCTATTGACTATTCCGGGGTTTTCTCTAGTAAATCCTTTTTGGATCTTCCCATTGATTAAAATAGCTATGCATTGTTTGCCCTTCAAAGATGATTTGGAAGACAAAAGTGCCTCTTAAAGTTCAAGTCTTTTCTTAAATTGTTGCTCATAAGAAAATGAACACTAATGACTTGTTTCAGATAAAGAGCCCTTCAGGTTTGCTACTGCCACAGTGAGGAGAATGTTGGTCATTTATTTTACATTGCGCAATGGCTCTATTGGTATCATAGAAGTTATTCACTTCGTTCGAGATCTGTTGGATCTCCCCGTCATCGTCTGGTGTTTCTAATGTTGGGGATTGTGGAAGAGAACGAAAGCTAAAACTTTTTGAGATGGAGGGTTGTGGCCGTTTTTTGGGCATTATAATTGGAAAGGAATGCAAGAATTTTTTAAGATAGGTTTGAAGATGTACATGCTTTTTGGGAATGAGTTTGATTCTTGGTTTCCTTGTAGCTTTCAATCTTAAATCCATGCTTGCATTCTTTTTCCCTTCCTTTTTGAACGATTGTTCGTCTTTCCAGTACTACTTTTTAGTATTTAATGGAAGTTGTCTTTGTTTCTAGTCAAAAAAGAAAATGTAAGTGATGAAGTTGCATGTTGCTGGCAGCAGATTACTGGCAATGTAGGTCCATATCAACAATCATGGCACTGTGGTGGCCACATAGTATTTACAGCCAATGCTTTATGTTCCTAAATGTTACCCGCAGCATCAAGAATATAAGCACCTTCTTGTCTGCATGTGTACTTGATAAGTATTTGCTTCCTCTATGGGTAATGCCATCAACATGTATTAACAAAGGGTGGGGCTATTTCCACCTCCATTTAATTTCTCCTCATCAAACTACTAAGCCCACCCTTTCTATACTCACCCCATTAGTAACTAAATCCATCCCATGCTACAAGCGTGGAGGGCTCTGCTTATAATCAGAAACAGTTTCACAAGGAGGTCGACAAGATTCTGTCTCACAGGACCATGGGTCAGAGTAAGAAGAATCGCAGAACTAATTTCTAATTAATTGGAAAGGTGGTTCTGAGGCAAACGCGAGTTGGGAAAGAAATGTTACACTTTGGCAGTTTGAGAAACAAGTTAAGGAGTATTGGGACAACCTCTCGAGACAACGTCCAGTTCTTCCACTGGGGGTGGTTTGTTACCCCCTTAGTTGGTTGGCATGGGCATGTGGATGCCTCGCCCAATGGTGCCCCATCCCTTAGCCAAGGTTGGGGTGTGCTTGGCCTAGCAACCCTTTTGTGCAAAGTTGGCTTCCTAAGGACTTGGTTGGGTATTAAAGGTGATCGATAAAAGTTCAAATGGCATGCAACGACCATGCCTCGGGCTCTCATCGTTATGAATCCTTGGTTCAGAAGATGTTTGTTGCTATCACTAGGGTTTTGCTCACTAACACTATTATAGGAGGTGCTCCACGAACGGAGTGCCCGACATTACAAAGTCTGAGACCCGAAATGTGGGGCAAATATACGATGGACCTGTAATTGGTAGAAGCTCCATGCATGGCTGAAGAAAGCAGCACATCCATAGGCACGTTTAGCACAAGCAAGCTAGCATGGCTAGCTGTGTGGACTCGAATTGTGGTGTATTGCTAGCTAACCAAGTCATGAGTTAGACATGGCTTGGCATGTGGGCAAGGAAAAATTAGATGATGTGGGCTATCAAGAATGTCGGGTGCACATCATGTGAGGCGGCTCCGACCAGTTGAGGCATGTGGGCGACATGTGAGACAGTTATGAGCTGCTGATGGATTCCGGTCAATTACTAGCAGGTGCACCTCAGATGAGCTAATTCTGTGTAGTTACTGGCATGTGCACAACATGAGAAGCAAATCCAAGCAGTTGTTGGTGGCATGTGCACAACATGCAGGACGGCTACAAGCAGTAGTTGGCTAAGTTAAACAGCAGTTACAACAGCTCAGCCATGTTCAGTAGAACCAACCATGATCAACAAATGTTTAGCATAATTGTGGGGAGTGGCATAACCCCCATAATCCTTAAGGGCGAATCTGATTGGTGCCTTTGGGGGTGTCAACTACATGGCTGAGTTGGCCAGAGTTGGGTGGTGGCAGCATTGCCTAGGCGATTAGGTTTGTAACCACCATTGTATGTTTTAAATACACATGTCGGGGTCTGCAATGAAATAAGAAAGTTTGGGCACATTTTTGGAAGCAGACCCCTAACCGGAATCATTTAAGCTTGTCGAGAAGTAAAAAAGTTTGGTTGTTTGGCATGTAATGTTGTGTCTGTTATGTTTTAAATCTTGCCCATATTTTGTTCGACAAAGTGCTTTGGTGAGCAATTGTGTGAGTCTGGCTGAGACTAAATGTTGGATTTAAGTCTCTTTGTTCTAATTTTTATAACGACCGGTAGTTTAAAAAATTTTAAGTGGCATGGTAAAATATGGGAACATAAAAAATAAAGATTCAAAAATAGCACGGTGGAGAAGAATGATCGAGTATTATGAGCACGCTTCTAAGCTCCAATGGGTTAGATCTACAGAGGGCTCAAAGGAAGAACAAAAAAAAAGAGAATGTAGTCGGGTTTGTTAACGTTTCAAGGCTTGCAACAACAGAGAAATTCTTTCCATCACACATACACAAAGTAAAAAAGCAGAATCTTTCTAATCAGTGTTGCTACCATCGGAAACAATGGCTGCAAACCAAAGCCAACACATTTGTCTTTTTCTAGACATGTTCATGACATGCATGTACCAACTTGTAAACATGTGCTCTCCCTGATAAGGATTGTGTGCTAGAAATAGTAGTGGGGTAGCAAAAAACTTACGCGAGTAATTATACGTGCCATTTTAGGATGGTAAATAATTACAGATGTTTCAATCAGCAATTGGCAAAGCATCATCATAATAAGGATTAACTATAGCACAATGAAATGACAAGCAATACTGTAATTTTATAAATTGATTGCTAAAAGGATACTGAAGAATAAAGACGAAAAAATGAAAAGAAGAAAAATTTATACCACGTTAATTATGTCAACTACATACCAACACAGTCAAGACTTGTTGAAACAGGAATAATCCCCATGTGAGAAACAGCCCCATGTGATGGACGAAACCCTAATATACCACAATATGCAGCAGGTACTCTCACACCACCAACACTATCAATACCTGCCACAGGACGTTAGTTATGATATGTGTGTTTCAGATGACAAAGGATAACCATGGAGTGACCCAGAAATCAATATAACCTAATAGTAACTGGGCCTCTATAAAACATTTCAAAGTGATCAAAGGCATAAAACAGTAATGCAAACAATCACATTCAAGCAGCAACTTCTGATTATTGGCCAACAACAATTCACAAGAATTGAACGACCAGCAATCTCTGCCCCATGGCATGGTTCAAACTAACCAATCTGCTTACAAAAGCAAGAAGGATACCAGCATATCTCGTAAAAATTTTGAATTATGCCTTGGTAATTTTATTTCAAATATTGAAGAAACCAATAAATATCAGTAATACTAGTTTATAACTAAAGGAGATACACTATACATCATCAGAGAAAGCAGGAAAGAGAACACTAATACAACTATCACCAATTCACACCATAAAAACAAACTTCTGCTCCCACGGCAACAACGGGAGACACACTAACACGGATGAGAAGTTCAGCTAACTTGATCAAATATTGCACCCTCACACATTCCACCCCCTCCAACACCTCCAATTGAATGAGAAAACCAAGATAAATATGCAAAATCAATGCATCTCACAGCTCTCTACAACAGACTACCTGCCAACACCAAAATAAACTGTGTGTTCGAAAAGCCAGTTGACCCAGTAAATTTCAGAGAAATCTGAATCCAACAAATTGTAAGCATGTCTGCCTGGGACAGGCGCCTAATACCACATTAAGCTTTACTTAGACATCATAGCCTCAAAAAGTTGCCCATCAACCAATGATCAACAAAGGATCACACAGACCACATGCTTGGGTCAGCCATCAGCCATATGGTTTCCATCTTTCTATTGTGTAAATTCTCAAAGGATACACCAGTAACCTAAGTGGCATCAGCCCCATCCTGGCCATGATCCAGTATTAAGAATTTATATATATCCTAACAGATGCACACTAGCATGTTGTCCACCCAGGGGTAAATACCAAGGTCAAGTGCCCATAGTCATATGCCCTTAATAACTCGAAAGCACTCAAAGCAAGGTCCCCTGTCCCTTGGTGTCCATCAGAGTCAGAGGCAAGGCCCTAGGAGTACCTTTTTGCGCTACAGAGTTTTCATAAAGCATCGTACAATCATCTCACAAAATGCCATGGTAATCCCTCAATAGCTTAATGGATGATATCATGAACCAGAATTGAACATTATGGGGCTGAACAGTGGCTTAGTCAAGAATTTTATTCAATGTGGTTATTTAGTAGGTTTTCATTTTTAAGTTAAACTTCTAGCTAAATGGAATCAAAATAAACTCTCACATGATACAGTGGAATATTAGATATTCACAAATCACAATAAACTCGAGAAAATTAATTCAAACTTGTCCAATTGCATGTAAATATTTTTTATCAATTCATCAAACAATCAACAAAATGATGGGTGGCATGGGCCCCAAGGCAATTCCACCAATGGATGGGATGTATCTTTGCCAACCACAACACCAAAGATATTTTATGCCATAAGACCCCTACCCAGACCGATGAGGTGCACATTTTCCTGTTATATATCAAGACCATCTATGCCCCTATGCTAAATCTCAAAAACTCAACAGCCTGGCCGAATTTTCTTCTCTTGAGAGATACTTCGTTATAAAGCTTTCATGAATTTTATATAACCTCCTCAAGTTATAGTCTGCACACCGTAATTTTGCAACCCCATTGATTTACTTTTTTTTTTTTTTTAAGAAAATGGCAATTTTATTAATAGTAGATATAAAAAGTGTCACAAGAAACCGAACTGAGGTGGACAAGTTGTCCAACCCCAATAATGGTTAGAAACAAAAACAGAAAAACAAATTGTAACATTAATGTTCATATTACAATCCACATGGTGCTGTCCAGCTTGCCATAACACTAAAGAGTGAAACATCTTCAAAATCCTTGGTCACGGATGCCCAAAAAGAAGCCAAAAAGTGAAGTCGATTCCACAGACCATCAACTTCATCCCATTTATCTTCAAAAATTCTCACTTTCTTTTCATCCATAAAACCAAAATAGTAGCAAAAAAGACACAATGACAAAGTATTTTTCCTTCCTACCTCCTCCCAAACCCCAATAATCCACATAAATGATAGATGACATAGATCTCCGAGCAGCCCAACGACGACCAAGTAAATCAAACAACTAATTCCATAATGAAATAACCGTAGAAGCAATAACAAATGATCCACACTTTCACCATCCACTTTACGCATCATGCACCACTGCGGCAAAAGACAAGTCTTAGGTCTCCTTTTTAAAGTACATCATTAATATTAATCTTACCATGAGTAATTGTCAATGCACAAATTTGCCCCTTAATAGGAACTTCAGCCCTCCAAATATTGAATGATAGATGAAATAAATAAAAAAAAGGATTATCAATTCAGGAATGAAAGTAGGATTTACAAGAAAAGACGCCCAAAGGATCACTAATCCAAATTCTTTTATCAAAAGAGTTTAGGGGAAAAGAGACATTATTGAGCAACAAGAACAAAAACCACCAACTCCTCTTGTTCCCTATTGTTAAGATTCCTACGGAAACCAATATCCCACGAACCGGAAAAGAGAGGGATGTAACTAAACATGCAATAAACTTTCGTTGATAACACGAAATACGATAAAAACGAGGAAAAAGAGTAGCAAAAGAACTCCGCCCTCAAAACATCCTCCTAAGAACAAACCTTTAGCCTATCTCCCAAAAGTGCATTTCACCCTCTAAGTAAGACTAGATAAGCCAGTGAAATGAATTTCCATGTACTTCGGAAAGTACCCTTTTCAACTCCTTTGCATCCCACCAACTGGCATGTAACTCATATTTGCTCCTAAAAGCCATTTACCAACTAAAGCCACATTCCGTTTTAACAAATTTCTCAAAAAAATCCCACCCTTATCTTTTGGTCAAGTCACAACATTCCAAGAAATCAAATGATCCTTTAATTCACTTTGTCACCAAATAAAGAATCTTAAAGAAAGACAAAAAAAATAAATAGTAATGCTTGTCAATACAAACTTAATTAACGGTAGGCCTCACCCCCACTCCTAACCCCCCCCCCCCAAAAAAAAAGATTTAAAAGTCCACTTCCACCCATCTAATCTTTTTTCAATTTTCTCAACGACGAGATCCCAAAAGGTTATAGACATGGATTACCACCTAAAGTGAGACCTAAATACTTCAATGGCCAATCACCCACAAGGCATCCTAAATCATTAGCCCACCTGATATAATCCATAAGATGATCAAAATTACACAAATTCAATGATTTGAAAAATAATGGAGTTGGTCTACCATCAAGACAAAGATTCGTATGGAACCTTGTATTAAGAGTCTTATTTTGAGTATTTATTTAAGAGTCTTATTTTGAGTTAGTTTGAGTCAATTTTCTATTATTATTATTTATATGTTCTTTTAAAAAATTTTAGGGTCAAGGGTATTTTTGTAAATTTTAGACTTTCTAGAATAGGTCATAATCTAACTCTGGTCGTCTTTTGGATCAAATTCTAGTGTTGGATGTTCTAGAATATAAAGTCCTAGTTCTAATCTATATTAGTTTCTTAGTCCATATCGAGTTTAGTATATTTGAAGTCCTAGAATCCTTGGAGTCATAATACTTTTAGCATTAGCAAATATTTAAAGGTCTATACATAGAGATGTAATGCTTTAATTTAATGGATTGAGAAATTTTCAAAAAATTTCAACAATTATATGCTTTTGAGTTGTGTGATGCAATTCTAACAATAGGTGTGATGCTGATGGAACCAAGGAGTGATTCTTAGTCAAAGTTACTGTTCACAGCCCCTAAACAGTCCGGATTTTGATTGTACACAACTATCCTACATCACAACCTCTCTATCTTCTTCTGAGTAGAATTAATCCCAACAACCATGCATTTTTTCTTATTGACCTTTAACCCAAAAAGCAACCCGAACGTACCCATACTTTTTTCCAATCTTTTAAACTTCTCCTCATCACCCTCCTCCAAATAACAAATCTCCCAACCAAATTACATCTCTCCACCTTTTCCATTAACCTACTTAACTCATCCACTACTAAAATAAACAAAAATGGAGATAATGGGTCCCCCAGCCTAAATCCCATGGATGCTTTAAAACACCTCTTTGGTTTGCCATCTTTCCAACAAACCAAAATTATAGTCATAATGACACCATCCAAAATCGGGGTTTTCTCTTTACTTCTTTTAAAGGTTGTTTTCTTAATTTCATCTTCCTCAAAAGGCCTCTCCAACCAATTGGCCATATCCACCTCAATAAGAGACCACTCAATCCCCATCAAAGTAGGTCTACCTCTATCATGAGAAGAGTAAAAACCAACAAAGAAACCCACAAATCCCCTTCTAATCAAATCCTCATCATCAATAATCATTTCATTGTCTTCATTCAGTTTATCAATAATTTTCCTTGTAGCTTTTCTATTTGCCACTACGAAAATACTTTGAATTATTAACACCTTCCTTTACCCACTTTACTTTGAATTTTTGTCACATGCTTATTTTATCCTTAAACACCACCTCCTCAAGTCTATTCCTAAGATTCCGTACTTTCTCAACTCATTATTCAATCCTTCAACTTCTTATTTCATATCAATATTATCAAAATTATCCATTTAGCTTCGTAGACATCCTCAACCAACTCTTTATTTAACACTTCTAGTTTTTGCTTCACAAACTCAAGTTTTTTCATAAACTTGTATCCCTTCCCCCTCCTTAAACCCCACACTCCGACCACCATTCCCTAATCTTCCACCTAAATCCACTATGCTCCACCCACATATTCTCAAATCTAAACAAACATAGGCCCATCTAATCTATATAGAACAATGATCTAATATAACTCTAGTCAAAGCCTCCTGTCTAGCCCCTAGAAAGCAACCATCCCACCCAACCGAATACAAAAACCTATCCAATCTCTTGCATACCACCTCATTCCTAAAAATGGGCCACGTGAACATACAATTAGCCCAAGGAGGATCCCTAAAGTTTAGGCACCCTAATGAACATATAAAAATCCCTCATGCTTTTAGTAAATCCTACCCCCATTTAATTTTTCTACCAGATATCTCATGACATTAAAATCCCCCCTATACAGCATCATGGAATGCCCATACAACCTCGACCATTCATCCCACAATCGTATTCTATAATTAGGTTTCTTAGGCTCGTCCACCCCAAGTCAACCACCACTCAAACCCTTCCCTGCGTCTACTCTTAACAGAAATTGTAAATTCCCCCTCAATAGAATGTTCCCAACCATAGACCTCTCTTCCCATATAATGACAACACCACCCGACCTAGATCCCCATACACTTCTGACAATTGAATCAATGACTCCCAACTTAGTCTGTTGTAATATAACAATCTCTAGTCCTACGCAATTCAACATTTCCTTAATTCTTTTTCGAAATGACCCTAACCCTCTTAAATTCCAACTAATGATCCTCATAGCAAACTAAATCCCCCTACCCAACCCTTCTAATACTCCCTCTATCACAATTGCTTCTTGATTTTAGATTCTTTAGCTTTCTAATTCCACATCTCTTTTTTTCTTTCTTTTATTTTTTATAGGAACTAAGATCAAGTCCATCTTCTTAAAAAAAATATTTAATAGGAGCAAGGTTCACAAGGGCACGATTATTACCGGTACTCAAATTTTGGTCACTAAAGCCACTAGGTAAGACACAAAAGAGACTAAAATAGGTCACTAAAGCCAATAGGTACTCAAATTTCACTCCTAAATTAATATTTCTATTTGCATATATACTAGGCTTGTTTAATTCTTGTTTTTGAGAATGTTGTATTGCTACATATGTTTTTTATCTCATTTTCCCAATTGATAGGATCTTATGATTCTCGATCAAATCCTACGATCCCAATCCTGTAGTCTCCCCCATTGATTCAAGATAGGATATCGATTTTAAAAATGTTGAAATCATTTTCAACATAGGGTAGTTTGTAGGGTTGGGAGGGCGTTCGATGTATATAGAGAAAAAAGTAAGTAGGGGTTACATATATATTTATGCGCATAAATGAATCACTAATAGAAATGTAAGAAAATTTTTGATTGGCAATAGGACTCCAGATTGGAGACTGCAAAAGAGATTTCATCATACAGAAATATATCATAACTTTCCCCCGGTAAATATAGTAGTTCATTGTGATATTATTACTGTAGCTCTACTGCTTAGACACTTAAATATCGCAAATGTTGAGTTCAACATATGAAGCAGTTACAATTATGGAACATGGTTCACTGACGAGAAATAAAATTCATTTTTTTAAGGTAAAGTCAATCAACTCATAATGTTGATCAAACAAAGCTACCCAACACTTGCCCTCACCTTTTTCTTTATTTTAAGGCAAGTATCACACACCCCAATAATAAAAAAAACCCTTTATCAGCAAGAGTAGTAAATATAAATCAACTCATATAGAATATGCACATAAAGGAAAGAGAGTGTTCTCATGATCATAAAATCTCACCTAAAGAGAAATCAACAAGATTAGCAGCCACAGCTACAGCAGATCCACTAGAGCATCCTCCTGGTATACGGGTAGGAGCAGCAGGATTGGTGGGTGGATCGTAATGTTTATTTTCTCCACATATACTGAACAAGAGATATGCCAGAAACGACCAACATTGGTTGAAAATCTAAATAGACAACTAAATGAACTCCTTTAAGATACCACTATCGTCAAAAGACAGAAACGTATATCATATCTTTGCAGAACCAAATTATGCCCCCCCCCCCCCCCCCAAAATAAGAAGTATCAAAGAAGTTCACATGAAGAGGCAAGTACAAACCTAAATGCCATTTCATCAACAACAGTTTTCCCAATACATGTGGCACCTCCTTCAACAAGAGCTGAAACCACATGTGATGTCCGAGAAGCAGCTTCATGTGTTTTTGCCCAGTCTGGATTGCCAAAACCGGTTACAAATCCATCTATATCATATCTAGAGGATCAACATTTTGAGAACTTATCAGTGTTAGAAAGAGAGGAAATTCCAGAAATCAGAATTGCTTCACATAGCTAGACAACTGTGTCAAATAGAGTACTTAACAAATACTAACCCCAAATCACCAAAGAAACCAAAAGGAAACCATCTAAAAAAATGAGCATTTTAGGATATACGTATTCAGTATAATTCCCATCATCGTATTAAGCAAGTAGCACAAATGCCAATGACACACTATATTGAAAAGAGAGAGGTAGGGGGGCAGAATTGCAGCAGTTATTGGATTTCTCCCCCAAGGATCTCTACTATGGCTTGAACAACACACTTTATGTATCTGAGCCACAATGCTTACAATAATTTTTTGGGTTTAAATTAAAGAAAACATCCTAATAACAACCTTTAAGACAACTGGTGGTAGTCATATGATATCAGCCTCCAAAAGAAAATGACTGAAATCAGGCCTTCTGTCTATCAATCCCCAGAACCACATGGACATGCTTTATAGATGACTGCAATTCAATGGCCAAATCCCGCCTGATTGGTAAAGCTCTTTGCACCAATATCAGTGTGTTTGCTGATGAAAGCCTAGCAATAGTAGGACCTTTAAAATACTATGGAACACTTGAAATGAGTGGAAATATACTAGGAAAAGAACTGGCAAAAGCTCCACGTATGAAGCTAATTTAACGTTGGGAGAGCATAATACATTAGAATGTAAAAGTCATTTTGAGTTCTACAGAACTTTCCAAAATCTGTTTGCACCACGACTAAAACTCATTGCCATAAAATAAATCTAGACCTAACAAGGAATCTGGACTACATAGTTTGAGATGCACAAAAAAATAAGGAATGGGAGACTACTCAACAAAAAGTCAACATGTAATGAAGGAATGAAGAATATATGTTGAAACATTTACCGATAATTATAATTTACAATTTTCGAGTTTAATACAATGCAATGACATATAACTATATTACACATATTGTATATATTCTAAATGTTATTAGAAAATCAAGTAATGACCTTACCATATTATATGATACCAAAATGATGACTTTGCAGCTACATGAGTAAATGATTAGCAATTTGATATTTCATTCTTCTTTCATATTATTACGGGTTCTAGTTGTGTTCAAATCGGCCCCCATAAAACACAATTGATAAAATAAGATTTGGGTAGTCAACACAACAATACTAAAGGCAAGGATTAAAATTTTGTTTTAATGTATTGTTTCTGTCACTTAGCAAACGGAAACATTTCGACGTGCTTCCGAAACATTTCAACTCGTTTTAGAAACATAATGAAAAAAATAAAAAATAAAATTTCAAAACATTGATTGAAATATATCAAAATCTCTTGAAATATTCAGAAGCAATTGTGCAAATGCATTAAAATATTACAAAACATCTTGAAACATTATGGAATACCTCAAAATGTTATTATTTCGATTTCATCACTAATTCGTTTCGATTTCCATGAAAACGAAAACGTTTCGACCGTTTCGAAACGAAATTTTGATCCTTGAGTAAGGGACAAGGCTCTTGTGTTAGAGTGATTTGATTGATCTATGCCCTTGTTAAATGAAAAGAGAAACCCAGTCAGAGAGGGAAAATGATAAAATTTGAACATATTGCAAGTTAAGATTGAACAAAAGATTTTAGTGCAAGTTGATAAAGTTATTTGGGGGTGCTATCAAGATCACTTAGACAACTCATTTTATAAGTTCTTCAATTTTTTTGGGCATGGGTTGTAGCTAAAGCAGGAAAGTGGATAGCTCATGTAAACTCCAGGTAAATCATAACAACTATGGGTGGAATTGAATTTTGATGGAAGATGGAGGTTCCTTCAAGACAATGTAGATTCATTGATGTTCCTCAAGGGCATGATAACATCATATAGGTGAAATTGTCGTGAATGTTGGCTACAATGTTGAAGGTGGGCAGAGTAAGTGGGAGGATTGAAGATGTTGAGTGGTTTCAATGATAGTTTGAAAGGTGGTCTAAACAAGGGAGAAAGAGGGAAAGATAGAAAAGTCTTGCTAGCTCGAATGATCAATAATCTTACATGACTCCAAGTTTTGGTGATAGGTGAACATATAGCTCAAGGTTAGTAAACCCCCAAATCCACCAAAGAGCCAATTATTAGAAAAAAGTCCAATGTGGCCAAATATAAAAAGGTGACACATAAAAAATAATTGTCAATGTCAATTGCATTTGAATTGTTGAAAGTACTATATGCTTAATGTCAATGCTCACATGTAAAAGCTCAAAGAGTTATGTTATCGTAAAGTATGGAATTCACATTGAGACCACTAAGAGTAGAAGGGATGTAAAAAACATGTGTAATGTCTAGTGTCTAAAAAAAAGAGAAATAAAAAATACATAAAGGACACTCACTAACCGGTTATGTATTCACTTAGATGATGCATTAGGAATTCAAGTGGAGTTTTATTAATGATTTAATCTAGTCAGATTCTTAATCATGTCAGGGCTTGGTTTCATACACTTAACACATGGGTTGATCAAAGAAAGACAAAATCTAAACGCGTGTGAGTGATCGTAGAAACTGGACTAAATGAAGGGAAATTGCTTTAAAAATGCATAAAAATTGGAGTTCTAAATTCATTAATATGGTTTAGAGCAAGGAATGAAATATCGTGTCGAAACGTCCGAAACTTTTCGTGTTTTCAATACACTAACACGAGACAGGGATAGAAACAAAAACTTTTTGTGTTTTGAACGAAACATCACTTTTTCAAACCGTTTTGATTAAAACAATAATGTTTTAGTCGAAAAAGGGAAGTGATTCGACAAGTAGCAGAAAATTACAATTCCAGCTAAAAAGGAGAGAAATTTTTCACCGGCCATCCCCTTCTTCAGCAAAACATAAGCGAGAGAGAGAAGAGAACCCATAAAATTGCTTGTCAAGCCAAAAAGAGGGGAGTTTCTTAGTTATCGCCGTCTTCATCTAAACAGAGAGAGACATAGAGAGACAAAGAGAGAACAAAGTGCAAAAATTGAAAGAAAGAGAAAAGTTAGCAGCTTACCAAGCGTCCTAAGTCTAGACCTGGGCAAATCCAAGCCACCGTTCACTCCCACAGTCTAGATCCAAGTACGATCTTCTTCTTTTCTCTTCTTTTTCTTCTCTCGTTCTTCCTTCTCTACTAGTACGAGGTCTTCATCGCTCTAATCTACAATCTAGGGGATGGCACTCTCCTTCTCTTAGATCTAGGATGGCCAGATGGGTGGGGCTAGCCAATGACTCGATTCTCAAACTCATTTCTCTCTCGTGCATGCGTTTGCTTGAAAGGAGGGAATAGTCATATGTTTTAATTCCTCCCCCTGTTAGTGGTATGCCCTAAGACTAATTGTATAGATGACATTTTGGAATTGTACTAGTAACATTCATTACTTAATTAAATAAAAGAGTAAGTTTATTTATGATGTTTTTGCTTTATTTCATTTTAACATATATGATATAGTCCATAGAGTATAAGTTAAGAAGATAATTTCTCAAGATGTTGAGAAATTGAGACATATACTTCTCAGTACTTAACTCTTAAATGTTCCTAATCATAGGATTACTATGTGGGCACTACATAATCCGGATAGACTAACATACATTATGTTTGATCATATTTGATATGAAATGACTTGTCCAAGTCACTAATATAGAGACATTGAAGTAGATGTGTGGGTGCTTGTTAGAAAACAAGTACACTAAACGTGACTATGATTAACATAGATTTTTCATATGGAGTTTTACATACCTATCAATGTTAAATTATAAGTAATATTTATGCAACTAATCCTTGAACCTGAGACACCATGATTGTCTTGTGCATGGACTTCTATGTTTTAGTCGTACAACATATTCATATACTAATCATGTGACTTGAATTTGTATCGTTGGACATAATTAGACATGCATATAGACTTATGAGTGCTTAGCATGGAATCTATTACCCTTAATAAATAAAGGGAGAATGTCCTATGTGATTTTCTAGGATATGATTCAAGGAGTCCTTGGCAAAGGCTGAAGGACGATTAGAAACGAGTTTCTAATTGATCATTAGGAGTCATAGTCCTAAGATCGAACACATAAGACTGAATTAGGGGTTTGACAATAATTTCATACCCTACTAATTCAATTGGGACATTGTGTGATAGAAAGATTAAATTGCATGACAACTGTAGACTAAATGGGTTCTTAACCTACTTTGTGTTATTCGAAGGTTGCTTATAATATGTTGCTAGATGTCACTCATGATTATTATAACAAAATTAATATACCTATATTAATTGTTCTTCGTAAAGGAAAAATTAGAAAAGTTCTAATTCAAGCTAAATTAGAAAGAGTTCTAATTTGAGATTCTACTTATAGTCAGTATCGAATGCCTACAATCGGGTATGCTTGAACCTGTAGGATCACACACAATAGAATTGATTAAAAACTAAAGGATAAATTAGAGAAAACCAATTAAGAGTAAATTGGATAAAAACCTATTAAGAGTTAATTAGGGATTTTATTACAATTAATGATTAATAAAGGGTTATATGTAATTATGAGATAATTGCAACTTGACCCAAACTAAGATTATAGCCTTTTAAGGCTCTATAAATACCTTTATATAGGAGGTTAATATATGATATAACAACTCTCTTACTAGCACAAGAAGAACTACCCCTCATTCTCTCTCTCTACTAGTTTATCAAAGGTTGAGGTAAATCCTTCAAGTTTATCAATTTGTGTGGATACCAATAGAGGCCAAACAATTGCGAGGCTTGGGATAAAGATCAAATTCAGATTTGAAGGTTCAAAGTTGTTCAAGAAAGCTTAAAGATTGTTCAAAACACGCTTCAAGAGGTAACCCTTAATCTTCACCATAGATATGAGGTTTCTCGATTTGTATTAAACATGAATAAATTTTGGAATAAGGAATCAATTTTTTAAAAAAATTCCGCTGCGTTCTTACATGATTCCTTTCAAAAACCCCTCCTTTCTTTTGTTATCTTATTTTTTTTAGATTTGTTCATTAACCTAATGCCCTTCACCCCCCCCCCTCATTTTTTTCTTTTCCTGTTAATAACCTATGTTTTAATTCCCTCTTTTTTTTCCCTTTTTCCTTTTATTCTTGTATATTATATTATTACAATTTTCTAATTAAACATACATCTTATTTAATAAATAGCTG